GCCTTTGGCATTAGGGGTGCAGTGGTTAAATGCAGCATTGCAGGCTACTTCAGCTGACTGCAGTTCTGCAGTTCGGCTGTTCAAATCTCACTGGCTCAGGGTTGACTCAGCCTTCCATCCTTCCGAGGTGGGTAAAATGAGGACCCGGATTGTTGTTGGGGGCAATATGCTGACTCTGTAAACCGCTTAGAGAGGGCTGAAAGCCCTATGAAGTGGTATATAAGTCTAACTGCTATTGCTATTGCTATTAATCGTGCCTGCCACATGGCCATGGAGACGTCTTCAGGTAGCGCTGGGTCTTCAGCTTTGAAACAGAGATGAGCACGGTCCCCTACAATCAGGAACGACTAGCACATATGTGCGAGAGAAACCTGTATCTTTACCTTATTCCAAAGGGGCATCAAGCTGGGAGGCACACCTGTTTTAGGCATGCTTCGGAGTTGTGCATGGTCAGGACAAGCCCTAAATCTGATGGAATTCAAATATCATTGCAGTTGAATCCTTTCAATAAAGTGGCAAACTTTTGCAGGGAGCACATAAGATCCTCTGGGGAGCTCAATGGGCCTCCAATTTTGCATCTCTAGATCTGGGAGAGGAGCTACTTCTGTTGATTCTCCTGTTTTGGTTTATTCCCCCCCCCCCCGGCTTGTGGCTTATCTGGAAATGAAAACAATAAAGTGACCTTGCAAACCATTTATAAAAAAATCTATCTTGCTTCTTGGAGCAGAGCTGTAAACCTCGATGAAAGACAAAACAGTTCCGACTTTCAAGGTTGATAACGCTATTTCCAAGTTGTTTCTTTCCATGTCAGGGGTATATTTTCCACTTGTAGTATATCATACATTGTGTCCTTTAATGGTTGAAGTAGTTCATTCTTGAAACAATTAGAGTATTGGCTTGTGAGACCACCTGGGCCTGGGGCTTTTCCTGGCCTCATTTTTAAAATAGCTTCTGATATCTCAAAAGCAGTTATCAGGTCATCCATAACTAGTCACTGGGCTTGTGATAGTTTAGTTAACTGTTCTCTTGAAACATATTCATCTATTTTAAACATATTGATTTCCTGCCTTTAATACAAATTTGTGTTGTGGCCCGCCAGCAGCCAGCAGAGTTGGCAGCAGATTTGGACAGTGAGGAGGTTGGGGAGGAACATGGGCCAGTCCTGGAGTCTGGGGAAGATTCTGGTGAGGGCTCTCTGTCAGAGGCAGAGAGGGGGCCAGAGCCGTATGACAGTTATCAGCTGCCTTCAGAGTCAGACATCAGTGAGGCAGACAAACAACTGGAGCCTGTTCCCAGTGTTGCACATGTGCAGAGTTGCCAGACGAAGGGAACAGCTAAAGAACGGGGCTCAACTTGGGAGGAAGGCCACAGATGGATGGTGAATGGCTCCTCCCGGAGGAAAGAAAAGAGGAGCGAAAGAGGAGTGGAATTTGCAGGAGACAATTCGTTCGCTTCATTGGTTTGTGACTCTCCAAGACTCCTTGCCAAGTTTTGCAGAGATCCACTTGTCAGCTCTCCAAGCCAGATAAGGTTTGTGACCGTAAATCCTCCCTTGAATGACTTTGCTGGATATGAATGAACAGAATTCACAGTCAATTAATAAAAAGGTTTTTTGCCAGGCCAAAGAGTTTGTTGGGAAGCCTTGGTCAGAACAATTTGAATAAAAATTATAAAAAGACTGTTCAATAAGTTCATTGTCTATTATTGTACATGATTGCCTTTGCAAAGTTTCTTCAGTCATATTTGTGAGTCAAACATCAATGTTTCCCTTTTGCACCAAATAATCCCAGTTGTTAAGACCCCATGGACATGCATTATCTGTAAAGATATATCTGCGTTGGTCTTCCTATGCTTTATAAACTGGGCAGAGTAGCAAGGCGAGGACAGGGATATACTTTGAAAGGTTTCTTGGTTTTTAGGCACAGTTAAGAAAAAGCTTATTGACTCCACCAGGAAAGACATAATGTACTGGGGTAATGAAGCTTTAGGCATTATACTTATTGTTTGAACATCTAGCCTAATTAATTATATTCATGATATGTTGTTGATGAATAAAACTTTGCACAAAGAGTATGCTTTGCTTCTAGGGGTAATAAGGAGAAGGAAATAGAATAGAATAGAAAATAGTAGAATAGAATAGAAAATAGTAGAATAGAATAAATAGAATAGAATATAGTAGAATAGAATAGAACAGAAAAAAAAGAGTAGAATAAATAGACTAGAATAGAATATAGTAGAATAGAAAATAGAATAGAATAAATAGAATAGAATATAGTAGAATAAATAGAATAGAATGGAATATAGTAGAAGAGAAGATAATAGAATAGAATAGAAACTAGGCTAGACTAGACTAGAATTCTTTATTGGCCGAGTGTGGTTGAACACACAAGGAATTTGTCTTTGGTGCAGATGCTCTCAGTACATAAAGAAAAGATACATTTGTCAAGAATCATAAGGTACAACACTTAATGATAGTCATAGGGTACAAATAAGCAATCAAATCATACTAGGAAACAATCAATATAAATTGTAAGGGTACAAGCAACAAAGTTACAGTCATGCAGTTATAAGTAGGAGGAGATGGGGGATAAGAATGATGCGAAGACTAATAGTAATAGTAATGCAGACTTAGTAAATACGTAATTTGACAGCGTTGTGGAAATTAGTTGTTTAGCAGAGTGATGGCGTTCGGAGAAAAACAGTTCTTGGGTCTAGTTCTGGTGTGCAGAGTTCTATAGTGTTGTTTTGAGGGTAGGAGTTGAAACAATTGATGTCCACTATGTGAGCGGTCTGTGAATATTTTCACAATCCCTTACATAGGAGGATAAAGGTAGTCCTAGACTTACGAACACAATTGGGCCCCAAATTTCTGTTACTAAGTGAGACATTTATTAAGTGAGTTTGGCTCCATTTTACGACTTTTCTTGCCACGGTTCTTAAGCGAATCACTGCAGTGCTTAAGCTAGCGACATGGTTGTTAAGGGAATCCGGCTTCCCCATTGACGTTGTTGGTCAGAAGATCGCAAAAGGGGATCATGTGATTTTGGGACACAGCAAAGGTTGCAATTTTGAAAAACGGGTGCGTCAACTTTTTTTCAGCACCATGGTAATTCTGAATGGTCATTAAATGAATGGTGGGATGTGCAAGACTACCTGCCCCCCTCCACTTATGCATAATTTTGTATTTATTTATTCTGCCATGTTTATGTACTGCATATTGGAGATGGTGACTCTTTGAGACCTGTATGCAATTAAATTTCACTTTAATGCATGCCGATTAGGGTACATTCAAAGTGAGAAAGGTGCTTTTCCCCCCAAGAAGCAAGTCTTTTTATTTGAAGATATTTCGCTTCTCATCTGAGAAGTTTCTTCAGCTCTGACTGGATGGTGGGGAAAAGAAGGATTGATATTCCTTGCGGACAGGTAAACCCTTCCATTTCCCATCATCCATCATCCAGTCAGAGTCGAAGAAGGTTCTTGGATGAGAAGCGAAATGTCTTCAAAAGAAAAACCAGAAAGCCCAGTTGCCTCTTGAAAAAAAAGCACCTTTGGGATAAGACAGAGAATCTCCATAGACATTCAAAGTGACAATAAAATTGTTGGCTGTTGTTTCCTTGTGCTTAAGTACCAGATAAGCTGGTGATACATAGAATAATTCTTCTTCTTCTTCTTCTCCTTCTCCTTCTTCTTCCTCCTCCTTCCTCTCCTCCTCCTTCCTCTTCTCCTCTTATTCTTTTCTTCTTCTCCTCCTCTTTTCTTCTTCTCTTCCTCCTCCCCTCTCCTCTTCTTCTCCTCCTCTTCTCCCCCTCCCCCTCCTCTTTTTCTTCTTCTCTTCCTCCTCCCCTCTCCTCTTCCTCTTCTTCTTCTTCTCCTCCTCTTCTCCCCCCTCCTCCTCTTTTTCTTCTCCTCCTCCTCTTGCCCCTCCTCTTCTCCTCCTCCTTCTCTTGGTCTCCTCCTCCTCCTCCTCCTCTTCCCCTCCTCTTGTTCTCCTCCTCCTCCTCTTCCCCTCCTCTTCCCCTCCTCTTGTTCTCCTCCTCCTCCTCCTTCTCTCGACTAAGCTGCTAATTCATATTTACCCAGCCAGCCCCCTTAAAGACGAGCTGCAAGGGGCAGCTTGGTCATCCCACTCCTCCTCTTCCTCCTCCCCTGCAACTCCTCAGCTAGTCCCTTGCCTCTCTCCTCCCGCCCCCTCCCACCCCCCGCCATGCGGACAACGGCGGGCCCGCGTCCCCTTTAAACCCCATCTCCCTCCTCTCCCCCCTCCCCTCCGCCTTGTTTATACCGCGGCGCCACCGAACTTGAGGCCGTGCCCCGCCGTGCCGGCCACGCCCCCGCCTGCCCCCATTGGCTGAGCCGCGGCGGCCGGGCGCGCCCATTGGCCCATCCTCCGCAGGCAAGTTCGGCGGCGCTCGGAGGGGAGTCAGCTGACCTCTCGCGCTCCGTCCACTCCCCCTCGGGGTTCCTCCGGTGGTGGTTGCTGCTGCTGCTGCTCTTGCTCCTGCTGGTCTCTTGCTTCTCCCTCCGCTGCCCCTCCGGCGATGGCGGGCGGCGTCGGCTGGCTGGCTTTCCTCTGTGGCTGGGCTGCAGCGGTCTGCGCGCTCCGGGAGGGTACGGAGGATCCTGAGCCCGGGGACCCCTCGGGGCCCTGCCCGCCCTGCCCGCGAGTGCTGGGCTTCCGCCTGGAAGACGGCGCCTCGGCCTCGGGGGGTCTGGTGCGGGCCCCGCCGGGGGCCACCTTCCGCCTGCGCCTCTACGGCACCGGGCTGCACAACAGCAGCTGGCCCTGGGGGGCCTTCGTGGCCGAGGAGGCGCCCTGCGCGGGGGACCCTTCCTCCTCCTCCTCCTCCTCGGGTGCCCCGCAGGTCCTGGCCCATCACGTCCTGCCGGCCAGCGAGCACGCAGGGCTGCTGACGGTGCGTGTGGCCCCTGGGGGGCCCTGGGGCCGCTACCGGCTCTGCACCCCGGCGGGGCCCGGCCGCCCCTGGGCCCCAGCAGCCCCCGGAGATGCCATCCTGGTGACGGAGGACGAAGGCGGAGGGCCCCGGGTGGCGTCCGAAGTGTGCCCCCCGCCGATACAGCCCTGGCTGCTGGGCACCCTGGTGGCCCTCCTGCTGGCCCTCCTGGCCCTCCTGCGTGCCTTGCAGCTCAGCACCCTGTGGCTGGACCCGGCTGAGCTCTACGTGCTGCGGGACTGCGGCTCCGAGGCTGAGCGAGGGGCCTCCAAGGCGCTGGAGCCCGTGCGCCACCGGGGCCCTTTCGTCCTGTGCTCCCTGCTGCTGGTGAGCGCCTTGGCTCAAGCTGCCGTTGCCGTGCTTTTCTACCGGGCCGTGGGGGCTCTGGCCCCGGCCATCCTCAGCGTGGCTGCCTTGTCCTTCCTGCTGGCAGAGGTGCTGCCGTTCGCCATCAGTTCCCGCTGGGGTCTGTGGCTGGCGCCGCGGGGCCTGTGGCTGACCCAGTTCTTCATGCTGCTGACCTTCCCCGTCTCGCTGCCGCTGAGCCGGGTGCTGGAGCTGGCCCTGCGGCATGAGAGCAGCACTTACCTTTTGCGGGAGAAGATCCTGGACATGGTGCGCAACAGTGACCCTTACAACGAGTTTGTACGGGAGGAGTTCAGCAAGGGGGCCCTGCGGAACAAGACGGTGGAGGACGTCCTGACACCGCTGGATGAGTGCTTCATGCTGAACGCCGATGCCGTGCTGGACTTCAACAACATGTCCACCATCATGCAGAGTGGCTACACCCGCATCCCGGTGTATGAGGATGAGCGGACCAACTTGGTGGATATGCTGTATGTCAAGGACTTGGCCTTGGTGGACCCAGATGACTGCACCCCTCTGAGCACCATCATCAAGTTCTACAATCACCCGCTGCACTTTGTGTTCAATGACACCAAGCTGGATGCTGTGTTGGAGGAGTTCAAGAAAGGCAAGTATGCGTCTTTATATTTTCACAGCAGACACTGGGCAGATAGTAGATTTGTTTAGTTTACTTGGTTGTCATTGCACCTTGTACAATGAAATTAAACGCCATCTTCAGTGTGCATCGTAACTATAAAAATCAAACACAAACACACATCCTTCACATTGTATACAATTGAATTGAAAAGCCCTGATGTTGCATTAATATTGCACTATATCGTAGAGTTCAATATTGTTACTGCCCTGGGAAAGAAGCTGTTTTTCAGCCAATTTGTCCTTGTTTTTATTGTCCTGTACCGTCAGTCACAGTGGCTCACTGGCTAAGACGCTGAGCTTGTCAATCAGAAAGGTTGGCAGTTTGGCAGTTCAAATCCCTAGCGCTGTGTAATGAAGTGAGCTCCCATTACTTGTCCCAGGTACTGCCAATCTAGCTGTTGGAAAGCATGTAAAAACTGCAAGTAGAAAAATAGGAGCCACCTTTGGTGGGAAGGTAACAGCGACTAGTCATGCCAGCCACATGACCACGGAGAGGTCTATGGACAGAGTTGGCTTTTTGGCTTTGAAACGGAGATGAGCACCGCCCCCTAGAGTCAGGAACAACTAGCACATATGTGCGAGGGTAACCTTTACCTTTATGCAGTAGAATTCAATATAGTTGCTCTGAATAGAAGCTGTTTTTCAGCCTATTTGTCTTTGTTTTTATTAACCTGTACCGGCTGCCAGATGGTAATAGTTAAAAAAAAAAGGGTTCCCAGGATGAGATGGATCTTTAAGGAAGTTTTGAACTTCCTTAAGTCAACAGGAGCTATCAAGCTCTTCCAAAGAGGGGAGAAGGCAACCAATGATCCTCTGGGCAATGATTGTCCTATCTGCCACTGTGCAATTGGCAAATCATACACAGGTTTGCCAATAGCCTGTTGTCATAGATTGGTTGCTTGTCCAGGCTTTTTTTTTTAAAGATAAACAACAACATTGAGATGATACCAATCTTGGTGAGCCTCTGGCTATATAAGAGACGGTTGGTAATCAAACTATTCTGAAAGTTTGTTTTGAAATTTATCCAGCAAGATGATCAGGTATGATGAACAAACATTCCCCGGAAGACAGCTTTCAAAAGTAGTTTGCTTATTGTCCCTGATTTTTTTTCCTCCATTCGCAGAATGTTGTTTAACTTCTCCTGCAAAATCTGTTCATGCCTGGGTTCGTTGCGCACATGTTTATTCCCTCATTCTCACAGCTCAAAACTGCATGTGTGATATTTTCTTTGCACAGCCAATCATTTCATTCTCAAAATAGCTCTGTTGAGGTTATGCTTTTATAGTTCATGTCTGACCCAGAGTGACCCAATGAACTTCAGTACAGAGTAGGGAATTTGAATTGAGATCTTTGTGGTCCCAGTTCTGCACTAACTGCTCACATTTTTTTTAAAACTGCACTCTGCGATTCCAAATTGAAAACAACAAATCGGGCAACTTTTTCCTGAAGTAATGAAAGTTATCACTTCCTTGTTCTCCTCTTTAAAAAATAATCATTTGAATTTCCTAGAACAAACCTAAAGTGTGCAAAAGATCATCCAAGATTTTGACCTGTAGAACACGGGTAGGTGGAAGCAAGAAATTTTGGTCTAATTTTGAAATTGCCTTCCTTCTTCCCTGTCCCCCTACTGTTTGTAGCATCCTGTCTCATAAACTAGACTCTTACCCTGTTTAAAGTGGTCCAGGAATGACAGATTAACAGAGTTGGAAGGGACCTTATAGGTCTTCTAGCTCAAGCAGGAGACCCTATATATCATTTCTGACAAATGGCAGTTCAGTCTCTTCTTGAAAGCCTCCAGTGATGAAGCTCCCACAACTTCCGAGGGCAACTTCTGTTCCAAGGGTTGATTGTTCTCACTGTCAGAAAGTTTCTCCTTATTTCTAGGTTGAATCTCTCCTGGATCAATTTCCATCCATTGTTCCTGGTCTGGCCTTCAGGGGCTTTGGAAAGCAGGTTGGCTTCTTCTTCTTTGTGGCAGCCCCTCAAACAGTGGAATATTGCTATCCTGCCTCCCCTGGCCCTTCTCTCCACTAGACTAGCCAGACCCAGTTCCTGCAAACCTTCATTGTATGTTTTAGCCTCCAGTGCCTTCTTCATTCTGGTTACTCTTCTCTGCACTCTTTCTAGAGAACATGTTTTTTATAGTGTGGTGACCAAAACTGGATGCAGTAGGTGTAGTCTTACTAAGGCTCACTTGATCTTGAGTGTATCCCTCTGTTAATGCAATGTAGGATTGCATTGGCTTTTTTGGCTTCCGCCGCACACTGTTGGCTTATATTTAGCTGGTTGTTGACTAAGGCTCCAAGATCCCTCTCACAGTCACTGCTATTAAGCCTGGTTTCACCCAGTTTATATGTGTATTCTTGGTTTTTCTTACCTAGGTATAAGACTTTACTTTTCTCTACATTGAATTTCATTTTGTTGGATAGGGCCCAGTGTGGTATTATCTGGGTGTTTTAAAGTTGGAAAGTTTGCAAGGATGCATTGCAATTTATTTTATTTGAAGTGATTTAGCAGTACACTTGCTGAATCAGTTTTGCATCACTTTAAAGAGAAAAAAAATTCCAAAGTTGTCTCACATGGCAAACTTGCTTTGAACACGCAAAGAGAATGAACATTTCTTAATTCCTGAGGTTGAGCAAAAACCATCTCAATGATTCAGTGCAGTCTTTGGATTTAGATGCAATTCTTATCAGACAGTACAAATTGAGAAGACATCCATCTCTACAGCGGATGAGAAAGCGTAGTAGGAAGTGTATGAATAAATAATTTCATGTACTTAAAGGCGGCTTCTAATGCGAGTACATTCTGATCTTGGTGCTTTAATGATTTATCAGTTGTTACAAGAGCCGGAGTAAAATGATAAATTTTATTGAGCCGGCTAATTATCTGTGAACATTGCTGGCTGTTGAACTCCCTAACCTCTCTGTGTGCTCTTGAACTGTGTAAACCTGCAGCAGAAATGCATTGTAAAAAGGCCCACAGGGACTAGCAGCATGCCATACATTTCAAACTATTACATTACTTTTCCCTCCAAGTTGGACTTCACCTCTCATAACCCTCAGATGTCAATAGAATAGAATAGAAGAAAATTAATAGAATAGAAGAAAATTAATAGAATAGAATAGAATTCTTTATTGCCCAAGTGTAATTGGACACACAAGGAATTTATCCTTGGTGCCTATGCTTTCAAGTGTACATAAAAGATATATTCGTTTTTCTGCAGTTCTAATTATCCCTTGAAGTCTATGTCTTGTTGGATTGCAAAACCAAACCAGACAGTTATAGAGGTGCAGATGACAGACTCAATAAAAAGAGCATCCTGAAGGATACCAGGATGGGGGATTGCTCCAAATTTTGTTCCTCAATTGGCATTTCCTACATAGGTTGGCACGTGTGATCTTTCAAGATTATTGTTTTTGTTGTTTCATAGACATATCCCTTTGTATTATGGACACTTGTATCTTCCTGAGATATATGTGTGGATGTGATCATCTGTGACCATATCTTTTCCTGCTGTTTCTGCACGTGAAAAAGCATCGCCTGGTGGCTTAAAATGATCATGTGGGCATAAAATAGAGGATGGGGAGATAGAAAGAAAGTCCAGTTGTGAAGCCAGGTTTTTCACTTATAAATAAGTCTCAGTCTGGCTTGGGAAATGGTGAGTTAAGTTCTCCCAAAAATAAACACCCCTGGACTGGCACAGTCCTGCAGGATGGAACTCCCAGGATAGAATATGTGCTTTTCCATAGCCATCATTATAATTGCTTGTTCATAGAAAATGTTTGTTCGGTCAATCGGAATAGAGCTGGAAGAGACCTTGGAGATCATCTGTCTAGATCAGGGGTCTCCAACCATGGCAACGTTAAGACTTGTGGACTTCAACTCCCAGAATTCCTCAGTTGAAGTCCACAAGTCTTAAAAGTTGCAAGGGTTGGAGACCCCTTTTCTAGACCCGTGATGGCGAACCTATGGCAGGCGAGCCGTCGCCCCAGCTCGGCTTACTGCGCATGTGTGCACGCCTCTTGCCGGCCAGCTGGTTTTCGGGCCTCTGCTGCTCAGGTGGGCGGGTAGTCGTGTATGTGCATGCGGGGGGAGTGCGGGAGTGGGACGCATGTGTGGGGGTATGCACGCATTGCATTATGGGTTCATGCACACTTTTAGCATCACTGTTCTAGACCAACCCCCTGCTCAAGCTGGAGACCCTATACCAGGGATGGCGAACCTTTTTGTCGCCATAGGCTGACATTACCCACCGCATGTGCCCTGCACTCGCCTGCCCCCATGCGCTCCTCTTGTTCCTGCACATGCATGCACAACCCCCATACATGTGCAGGCCCCTTCCCCTCGCCCAATGTGGCAGAGAGCTGAAAACCACCTGGCCGGTGGGGAGACATACACACATGCAGAATGGAGCCAAGCTGGGGCGATGGCTCGCGTGCCTGCCGAGAAGGCTCTGCGTGACACCTGTGACATGCGTGCCGTAAGTTCGGCCCTACACAATTTGTGACCAGTGGCTGTCTGATCCCTTCTGAAAAACCTCCTCATTATAAGGTGTTAAACAACGCACGGTTGTTAAGTGAATTCAGCTTCCTTTGCTGACTTTGCTTGCTGGAAACGGCTGGGAAGATTACCAGCATTGATCAGGTGACCTAGGACAGTGGGGTTGTCATAAAATACATGCCAGTTGCCAATTTAAATTAATTCAATAATTAATTTAATTATTGTGGGAATGCTGCTGTGATCATAAGTGTGAAAACTGATCATGAGTCACTTTTTTTCAGCGTAGCTGTAACTTCAAATCGTTCCTGAATGAATGGCTGTAAGTCCAGATACTGACTATATTAGCAAATTTCAAATCCGTTCTCCTGGTTGTATTATGCAATCTAACGTTCATTTAAAAATATTTTGAGTTCTCAGTGACTCAGCGATATTGTTTGCATACAAAAGTACATTTGTGTTCATATTCAA